CGGGGCGCGCGCTAAAAAAAAAGACGCGCGCGCCTTCGAGGCGCACGCAGGCAGCAGGCTAGGCAGCCAAGGTAAGGCAAGCAAGGCTGTAGGTGAGGTAACGCAGTAACCGGTGGGCCCGAACTTAGGTCCTAAGACCTACTGCTCTTGATACCATCTCAGAATCTAGGCAAAGGAATGGTTCGATTGAATGAAAGAAGGGTACAAGTATAACCCTAACTTTTGGGTTGTACCCTTTAAGGGCTACCCCACTACAGCCTAGACAACACTAACACATATATATAATTTGACAGCATGTGCCCGGGCAGTGGCGGGGGGGCGTCCTCCCGGTGTGGCTCGCACTTCCACCTTGTGTGAGTGTGGGTGTATGTATGGTTGACTCACCGTTTGGAGCACGTTTACAGTCATGCCCGAAGTGGCATCATAAAATGTCAGAAAGATGAGCGCAAACTCCTGAGGGGGTAGCGGCCATGGCACCTTGAACCTGCAGAGGTGAAGGGGTGGGAAATGGTGGAAATGCAAGGAGTGGAAAAGGGTGGAAGGGAGTGGACAAATAGAGTGTGACATAGGTCCATGGAACTCCTTTCCATCCTTCCTGCTACTCTTCCCCTCACTGTAATCACCGTGCAGCTACAAGAACGTCACGTCGATTGAGCTGCTCACGTTTCCAAACACTACCACGACAGCTAATGTGACACTTGTAGACGGTGGCTTCAGGATGACGGTTTTCTATGCCTAGTCGGAGAACGCGTTGGGGTATTATCTCCCCAACTACCTGCAGTGACTTTACTCTCAGAGGGAACTTGCAATGCAGGCGCAACGGCAACCGCAGCAACATTTAGAAGAAGCAGCAGTAGCAGGGAAATCAAACTTGTGCAGCTGCCTAGGGCGGGCCCGTGGTTTCTGTTCCGAATCATCCATCCAAAAAGTCTCAACGATTTTTGTTACGACGGAACAAACACGCTCATTGCACACATGAACAGAGTTGTTGCCAGATACTTGGTGTTGCGATCAAAATGTTTATCATGCCTAAGATCATCTTAGGAAGGTTCGCAGAGAGTGTGTTGCAGCGGAAAATTTGACCTCAGGTCAGAGTGAATTTAAAATGATTGAGATGGTTAAAACTAGCGCATACAGAGGTTTTTATAAGAGTTCAGGGGAATATGAAATGTTCTAATCTAGCCGTGTACTCTGAGGAAGTTTCTCAATGATTGGCTTATCGCAACCCCTCGCCCCGACGATACGTGTGGGCCACAGGATCCGCACCGCACCGCACCAGCTTTGCCGAAGCTGCGAAAGGCAATAAGAAAGCGGGAACGGATGGGAGGTTTCTGGGGGCTGTGGGAGAAGCCATGGTGTGGAATTTGATTTACCATCTCTTGTTTAGTTTGACATGAACATGCTCACATTTTATTAGTATGTATCTTGTAAGCATGGAATTTCGCCTGCTTGGTGAACTCAGGCGAAATTGGAAAATCAACTGGTTTCGCACGGTTATTCCAGCCTCGCACGATCGTCACCGACGCATATTTCGTTCGCACTCTTCGCATATGCGCGGTTGTGCAGCGATAACCATCTCTGCGAGGAACCCAACAATCTTCCCAAATCCCAAGGTCCAGCCTGATTCAAGAGACAAGTACTGCCTGCCTGTGCCTTACCTCGTCAATTTCTGTTCTTCCTGCTTGCAACACATTGGGATTGCCGACAAGCGCTTGTCTAGAAATCCGTCGTGCTAGCCTGTCGTAATTCGGGTAGACAAACTCCCTGGTGGCAAACGTTGATGTTGAACGCGACGCGAATCATGCGTGTCGTTAGACACGCGGATTGCTTTCTAACTGTCTCTGCAGTTCTGTTTCTGCGCGAAAGTTTGGTAGCGAAACGAGGACTCCTCGGAAAGACATGAGTCAAAGACCAGGGGGTTCAAAGGGAAGGGACGCTGATCTGGTGGTAGTTAGCGCTGTCATTTCGGTTAACCACCAGCAAACGCGATCGTCGCATGGATTATACTATGTCGGCAGATCGAGCCGCTCGTGAAATATCTGATTGCCTCTGTCGTACCCTCCGACCCGATGCTCTTGTGCGACTCATGGCTCGTCCCGCCAGTTGCATGAACCGCTCTACACCGAGACTAGTACGACTCATGAAGACAAACAGAGTCTTTCGTGGTGATCACTCCGAGTCAAATCCTTCGCCACAGCACGACAGCGGCATTCGGAACGGCCGCGACGTGCGAACGACGATTGCGATGCACTTTCCATCGCATCACTCGCCGCCTCGCTTCCCGCAGACCCTTCGCCTTCTCCTTCACCGCATCGCCTCGAGCTGGTAGCACTTCCTCCACGCCACACATCCGACGCGAGTCGCGGATCTCTCCTTAGCCACTTCCTCTCCAAACCCGTGCAGCTGGGCACGCCTCTTCCTCCGCCTATAAAGCCGACGCCTTGTGCAGCCATGGATTCATCAGCTCCACTCCGCCTCTTCTCCCTTCAATCTCCTCCTCAAACAGCCGCTTGCTGCGGCCTTCCAGCTCTCTCCGGCTCCTGCTCCAGCCGATTTTTGAGCCGACTCACAGGTCACTTGTTTGTAAGCCCTCATGGCGACGGCTGGCATGCGCGTGCTGGTGCTGGCAGCGCTGGCGGTGGGGCTGCTGGCGGCGGCGGTGAGGGGAGCGCGGGACGCCATGAAGATAGCCAGAGGCCTCGTCCCAATGGACGGCGCCGCGCCTGGCGGGGCGGGGGCGGCGGGGCAGCAGAGGAAGGGCGCGCGCATTCTGGCGGCTGAGACCTTTGCTCACCATGCCCCTCTGCCCGGCTACCTCGACCACATCCCCCGCCGCCAGGCCCTTGAAAGAATCCGTCCTGGCTTAACTGACGCCACAGACTCAGCTGAGCGAGTTAAAACCAGAGCCTAGGATCAAACTGTCGGGCTCGGAGCAAGGATTCCGTAGCACTTGAGATCACTGAAAACGCCCAAGAATGGGGAGAGCACTACTTGTTTATATATGGCTGGGTACAAGCTACGAATTGAAGATGAACTCTCTGGTTTTGCTCTCTGGTTTTATAACTAAATCATGCAAGCAAATTTGTAACATCGAACCGCGCGCGACTCGCTAGAAATTCGGACTCAGAATTGCGTCCAATTTCCGCGACGTCCGCGTTCACAATTTCGGACTTTGCCGGGTTCATTTCAACACGCCAAATGCGTGTGTTACAAGAAACAATAGCGAGTGTAGCGAAGTGTTCAACACATTCGCTTGAACTCTCGCTATTTTCGTTTGTGCTTGTGGGGCTGCCAAGTGTAGCCCCCACAAAGTTTCGGACCCAACCGGGGGTGAACTCGGTTGAGTGGCGACGCGGGCAATCCGTCGTCGCCCAAACTTCAGAGAACGAACCCTCCCTTGGTCCGAGTCAAGGGGGGTCTTAGCGTGGGGGGCAATCCCGTCCCCCACACTTCCAACACTCCCCCTTGCACCCCACGCACACCTAAGCATGCAAGCCTACCCTAGCACAACATGCATGAAGTGCATCTCTAGGCAATGGCTTGGTGAGGAAGTCCGCGGGTTGGGAGTTGGTCTTGATGTAACGAAGCTCGACTTCGTTGTCTTCAACGAGCTTGCGAATGAAGTGGTGGCGGATTTGAATATGCTTGGTCCTTCCGTGAAGGACCGAGTTCTTGGCTAGGCCAATAGCGGCTTGGTTGTCCACGTAGATGGGAGTGGGGCCTTCTTGTTTGTGCCCAAGCTCGGCAAGAAGGCGCCTTAGCCAAACCGCTTCCGTACCACCACGAGTGAGCGCCACGTATTCCGCTTCGGTGGAGCTAAGTGCAATCAAGTTTTGGCGCTTGCTTTGCCAACTTATTGCACCTCCCACGAGGGTGAAGATATAGCCCGAGGTGCTTTGGCGGGTTGAAGGATCTCCCGCCCAATCCGCGTCGGTGTAGCCTTGAAGCACCACGGGTCCCTTCTCGTAGTGCAACCCCATACGAGTGGTCCCCTTGATGTAGCGAAGGACACGTCGTGACGCTCGCACATGCTCGACCATGGGGTTGGACACCACGCGTCCAAGCACTCCAACGGGAAAGGAGAGGTCGGGTCGCGTGCTCACCGCGGCATACATGCACGACCCAACGACCGAGTGGAAGGTCTTGGCGCTCTCGGGATCCATCGGGTTCTCGTCGCTCACGGCCAAGGGATGAAACCCCGCTTCCATGGGTGTCGGTGTAGGCTTGCTCTCGATCATGCCGAAGCGATCCACCACACTCTCCAAGTACTTGTGTTGGTGGAGGGCGAGGGTCTTGTTCCCTCGATCATGATCGATGTGCATCCCTAGGTAGTGGGAGACGGCGCCGAGGTCACGCATGGAGAATTCGGCGGCAAGCTTCGTCTTCACGTCCGCTACAAGGGTCTTAGAATCCGACACGAGGAGAAGGTCGTCGACGTAGAGGAGAAGAACGAGCTTCTTCTCGTCCTTGTTGAGCACGTAGAGCGCGTGGTCACACTCACTCCGCACGAACCCCAACGAGAGCTCGTAGGTGTTCGTCAATCCTCGTGTACCACGCACGAGGGCTTTGCTTGAGACCGTAGATGGTTCTCTTGAGCTTGCACACGCGGTCGGAGTCGTCGTCGAACCCGGGAGGTTGCTTCATGTACACCTCCTCCTTGAGACGACCGTAGAGAAACGCCGTCTTCACGTCGAGTTGTTCCACCTCCAAGTCGAGTGCTCCCGCCAACGCCAAGAGGGTGCGCAACGTAGCGGACTTAGCGACGGGAGCGAACGTCTCGTTGTAGTGAAGACCCTCTTTTTGAGTATAACCTTGCGCCACCAACCGCGCCTTGTACCGCTCCACTTCTCCGTTGGGGCCGAGCTTCTTCTTGAAGACCCAACGAGAGCCAACGAGGTAGGCGCCGGGAGGCATGGGGACAAGCTCGTAGACGTCGTTCGCCATGAGTGAATCATACTCTTCTTGAAGCGCACGTTCCCATTCCGCCGCTTCCGCCGAGCTCATGGCGCCGTGGTAGGTGGACGGGGTGTCGGTGTACGCCTCAAGACACATAGCGTCTCCCCCTCCCTCATCGTCCCCCGCCACGAGAGAGTAATCATCGAACTTGGAGTTGGGATGAGGGTTCCTCCGAGTGCGAGTGGATGCGAGGGTGGGAGTGATAGTAGGAGGAGGAGTCGAAGGGTCACGTTCCTTGGCATTTCCTTCATCCCCACTCACTTCAACCACACCCGATCCATGCTCCCCCTCACTCGCACTAGGAGGAGGAGCCGTAGGAGCTTCATCCGCCTCATCCGCGGCATCCAAGGGTGGAGGGACGATGATGACCGAGGGCACGTTCGTAGACTTGGAGGGGAAGGTGTCTTCGTAGAACACCACGTCGCGCGACACCACGAGTTTCCCGTGCTCCAAGTCCCACACGCGCCACCCCTTGTGATCCGCGCTTGGACCCAAGTACATCGCCACCCGCGCCTTCGCCTCAAGCTTGGTCCGTGTAGCATCCGGGACATGGTAGTAGCACGTACACCCAAACGTGCGAAGGTCGGTGACGTCCGGCTTCGTACCGCTCCAAGCCTCAAGAGGCGTCTTGTTGGGCAACGCCTTGGTCACGCACCGGTTGCGAATCCAAGTTGCCAACGTAACCGCCTCTCCCCACCAATTCTTCTCGGCGGCTCCATTTTGTTGAGGCGTGTACGGCGTAGAAAACTCATGCGCGGTCCCACGCCCTTTCAACCAATCGCCGAGCTCCCGAGCGGTGTATTCGCCACCTCCATCCGAGCGAAAGCGCTTCACCTTGAAGCCGCTTTCCGTCTCCACATCCGCGACCCATTGCTTGATGGCGGTTGGCGTGGCGTCCTTGTGCTTAAGAAGCCGAATCCAACACATCCGTGTCGCGTCGTCGAGAAGCGTGAGGACGTAGCGCGCGCCGCCCTTCGACGCGGGAGTGATGGGTGCACACAAGTCCGTGTGAACGAGCTTGAGAGGTTCGGTGGCGTTCGGCTTCGTGCTTGGTGGAAATGGCTTCCGTGCCATTTTCCCTTCGAGACAACCGACACACTTCTCATCGTCTCCACCCGAGCGCACAAACTCCAAGCCGTTGACAATCCCCTTCGTTGCCATAGCTTGAATAGCGTCGTGGTGGAGGTGGCCAAACCGATTATGCCACGTTTTGAGAGTGGTTGTCGAGGTAGCCGCTTGAGCCGTCGCCACACTTGGGAGGGCATCGAGCATGAAGAGTCCTCCCGTTTGGCGTGCCGTGCCGATGTGTACGCCATCCGCCGTGCGCCATCGTGGTCCCTTCGATATTCACACGCATCCCCTTGCGTGTGAATTGGGAAACGGAGAGGAGGTTGGCGCCGAGCCCGGGAACCACCAAGACGTTCTTGATGGTGAGTGGACCGCCGTCCACCATGAGCCGCAAGTCGCCTTGTCCCGTGACGTCCAACGTGTCACGGTTGCCGAACATCACGCGCTTAACGGGAGCCTCCGTTGTCACGTTGTTGAGAAGCGCCGCGCACGCCGTCATGTGTTGAGTAGCACCCGTGTCGAGTACCCACGCGTCAACACCACCGACGGTCGTTCCACTTGCGACGAAGACGAACTCCCGGTCGTTGTTGTCGCATGTCGCCACATGCGCGCGCCGGTTGTCGTCACTCGACGGCTTCCAATTCGCCGGCTTGACGGGACATTCGCGCCACCAATGTCCGGTCTTCTTGCAAAAACGGCAAGCTCCGTCGCGCGTCCGAGCTCGATTGGCGTTGGCCGATCCTCCACGTGAGGCCGCCGCGCTCCCGCTCGAGCTCCCGCGGTTGTTGCCGTCGTTGCGCCGCTTGAAGTGACTCGTCCCTTTCGCCTTCGCATCGCGGGAGAATTGTGCCGCGCCAATTGCATCGCCATGCAATTTCGTGCGCCTCGCCTCTTCGTTGATGAGGCGTGCCACCACTTGCTCCTTCTTCCACGTGTCTTGCGTCCCATCCAACATCGTGATCACGGTTGACCACGCTTCACCGAGGCCCGCGAGGAGCGTCATGATCCAATCGTTGTCCTCCACGCTCGCGTCGAGTTCCACCAAGCGCTCGCCAAGCTCCTCCACGCGGTTGACGTACGAGCGCATTGACTCGCCGTCCCTCATCCGCACCGTGAAGAAGTCGAGGCGCGCTTGAAGCTTGCTATGAAGCGACTTGGAGACGTGCTCTCCTTCGAGTCGCTTCCACGCTTCACGAGTCGCACCTTCACGGTCGATGCACGGACTCACGATCGGGACGAGTTGGAGGCTTAGCTTGGAGACAAGAAAGGCAAACGCCTTTTTGTCCTTTCGCACCCACGCTTCCTTCTCCGCGGTTGAAGCGTCCGAGGTGGGTTTCGATGCCGACCCATCGAAGAAGCCCCACAAGTCGCGCTCCATCATATACACCTTGAGATTGAAACGCCACGAGGAGAAGTGCTCCCCGTTGAAAATCGGCACCGCGCTCAAGTCGACAACGTGCGGCGTTGTCGAGAAGTCCGCCGGGAGGGAAGGGGTCGTTGGCGCATTCGTCGTCGACGAATTATCGGAGGAACCCATGGCGTAGCAACGATTGAGCGAGCACTCCTACTCTAGCTCTAATACCATGTCAGAATCCCAGCCACTAACCACTGGGATAAAAGGGCTTGTTTGTGTAGCGGGTGAGTGCGCCCATAACCCCCCAGGCCGCCATGCCTGTAACCCTTCCCTAGGATCAATCGGGGATCACCAGTGGACCTCTGACAACCCCCCGCACTGGGATGCCCGAGGTGCACACACCGGGAATCGAACCCGAGACCTTCGCTCTGATACCATGAAAGAATCCGTCCTGGCTTAACTGACGCCACTGACTCAGCTGAGCGAGTTAAAACCAGAGCCTAGGATCAAACTGTCGGGCTCGGAGCAAGGATTCCGTAGCACTTGAGATCACTGAAAACGCCCAAGAATGGGGAGAGCACTACTTGTTTATATATGGCTGGGTACAAGCTACGAATTGAAGATGAACTCTCTGGTTTTGCTCTCTGGTTTTATAACTAAATCATGCAAGCAAATTTGCAACATCGAACCGCGCGCGACTCGCTAGAAATTCGGACTCAGAATTGCGTCCAATTTCCGCGACGTCCGCGTTCACAATTTCGGACTTTGCCGGGTTCATTTCAACACGCCAAATGCGTGTGTTACACGAAACAATAGCGAGTGTAGCGAAGTGTTCAACACATTCGCTTGAACTCTCGCTATTTTCGTTTGTGCTTGTGGGGCTGCCAAGTGTAGCCCCCACAAAGTTTCGGACCCAACCGGGGGTGAACTCGGTTGAGTGGCGACGCGGGCAATCCGCCGTCGCCCAAACTTCAGAGAACGAACCCTCCCTTGGTCCGAGTCAAGGGGGGTCTTAGCGTGGGGGGCAATCCCGTCCCCCACACTTCCAACAGCCCTCTCTCCTCTCGCTCTCTTTCCGCTTCTTCCCTCTGCTTTTCCTGCTCTCTTTGCCTGTCATTTCTCTGCTCCCTTGCCTTTCACTCCTCTGTTCCCTTGCCTCTCATACCTCTCCTCCCTTTGTCTCTCATTCCTTTGCTTCCCGTTGCGCCTTATTCCTCTGCTCCCCTTGCATCTCATTCCTCTGCTCCCTTTGTCTCTCATCCCTGTGCTCCGCTGCTCATTCCTCTGCTTCCCTAGCCTCTCAGTCCTCTGCTCCTCTTGCCTCTCATCCCTCTGCTCCCATTGCCCCTCATTCCTCTGCTCCCATTCCCACCCTCACTGTCATGTGCTGAAGTGTATTCGTGCATGGGGTGACATTTTGGATTCTTATTCTGTCTTACCCTTCCTCCACACCCCTCCCCCCCTCCCCCAAAATCTCCTCCCTCTTCCCAGCCTGCGGGCGCACGACGATCCGGTCGCAGTACCTGGGGCCGTACGACCTTAATCTAAGCCCACTCCTCTCTTTCCTTCCCTGCCTCCCCTCCCACTTGTGCAGCCTGTGGGCGCACGACGGTGACGATCCGGTCGCAGTACCTGGGGCCGTACGACCTGCACAACGACATCTACAACATGACCTTCTACAACGGCTGCGCCTACAACGTCACCAGCCCGCTGCGCGTGTACCAGTGCTTCAACTTCGGCAACGTGTGGGAAGGCGTCCTCGACAACCCCGCACCCAAGCCCACGCAGTACCAGACAGGCGAAATCTTCGTGCAGGTTGCTACAGGGTCGTGTGAGATGCGCATGAACCGCGGTGCTAGCGGCACTCTGCAGATGCTCCCCGGGGAGACGGTGAACATTGTGTATGCGTACACGTGGGACTTCCGGCCCTGTGTGCAGGAGCTGCGCTTCGGCAACGGCAACCGCTACTCCATGATCAACTCCGCCACTGAGTGCATGCCCGCGGCCGTCATTTAGAATCGCCGTGTTTATGGAGTCTTCATACATATCAACAGCCCGTGAAGTGAGTGTGGTGTACAGTGTACAACATGGAATAAAGGGAGGGAAGGGAGAGAGGGAAGGGAAGGGAGGGAGGTAGGCAAGTGAGGTGTGGCGTTCGATGTACCCTGACATTCTGGGGAAGGGAGGGTTAGTAATAATGCATGAATAGCATCATTGTTCATGTACCGTTATCAATGGGCATATTGTTCAAAGTTGAAATTTCATCACTTTAATCTGAGCAGCAAAGCAAGCAAATAGGTCATCTTTCTGTGATGCGTATCATTCTGTCCACATGCCACAAGCCATAATCCCATGCTCCCATCTTTCCTTACTCGCATGTATGCTCAGTTCCGTCCAATGTGGTATCTACTCTACACCCATCCCCCTTTTTTTCCAAGAACGGTAGTTCATTTGCATCACCAACCAACCCCATGCATTCATATCCATACCATTCCCATGCATTGCATTCTTATCCATCCCATACTCCCATTCCCATACCCATGCACTGTAATATCAGTCCCAACTGATGCCATCAATTCCCTAGCATCCCTTATAAGATCTCACGTCCATAGTCTGGCTCAGCACAGCAAGATCTTTAGGTGTTGGAGCTTGAAAGAAACTCTATATGGAGGTAGATACGGGAATACTTTACGCCACACTGGATACAGTACTGCAAGGAATGATCATAACAAGTGAGCTTTCTGCCATCACATATCGTGTGAAAAACGGGCAATGGCACTATCTCATAATCAGCCTGTCTTCTGTAGCATTGTCAAAGCTTTCCGCAGCCTTCCCCATCCACTCTTGTGCGACTCCCGCTGCGCCAGCTTCTGGTGCTTCTGGGGCAAACGATCACCATCCCCATTCGGGGTGTTTACCCCGCCGTCTGCCCTACCCTTTCCACCTGCTTCGCTGCTCCTTGCGTGCTGCTCTGCAGCAAAACCATCGCTTAAAACTAATTCTGCTGCTGAGCTGCCCCTTCTCTCTCCTGCCACCGCCCCTTTCGCTCTCGAGCCTGCTGCTGTGCCTGCTGCTGCAGTTGCTCCTCTTCCTCTGCTTTCTGGGCTGTACATGCCACCAGCTGCCCCACCACCAGCACCAACTGCTGCTGCAGCCGCTGCTGGTGTTGCTGGCACGGATGCAGGATGCAGCAAGCGGAGGGCTGCGATCGCCCGGTCCAGCGTATCAACGGCTTGGAAGAGACGGTGGTCGCTCGCACTCAGCGTGTACCCATTGTTACCGGTACCGGGACTCTCTGATGCTCTCAGCCCATACCGGCCATTCTGCGGGTGCTTTGTATGCAGCCCTGTAGCACCTTTCTCTACAGTAACCTTCTGTACAATGCCGTTAAGTTGCGGCGAATCAGGAACAGGCCCTCTGTGCAGCAGAGAAGTCACTGCAGCTCTGCTTATTCCAACCCCTGCCTCCGCCCCCACTTTCCCTGCTCCTCCTGCTCCTCCTCCTGCTCCCCCTGCTGCTCCTCCTCCTACATCTCCTGCTCCCCCTGCTGCTCCTCCTGTTACATCTCCTGCTCCCCCCTCAGTCACAAACCCACCCTCATTGCTGCTGTCTTCCATGTGCAATCCTGATTTCCCGCTCGCCTCCTCAACCCCCATGCCCTTTACCCCTGGTCTTGCCTCCGCACCCCCCCATGCTCCAGCCTCCACTATCTCTACCCCATCCCCATCAATGCTGCCATTGCTGCTCGCTCTTCTAGACACTGATGCCACTAGCGACTCGATTTTCGCCTCTACCTCTGCCCCTAGATCTCTAAACGACTTGTCCTCTTCTTTGCTGTCTAGAAGAATCCTTTCCCCAACTGCCTGCCCGTTTTGCTGACCGCCCACCAGCTCCTGGTGCTTTCTCTGCTGCTCGGCCTCCAGTTGCTGCTGTTCAGCTGCCCGGGCTGCCCGATATTTCTCCATGACTGCCCGGACGTGATTGTAAAGGGGCTCGTCGTGGAGAGCCTGGCGAAACGCCTTTCCCTTGGTGCTGGAGGGGTCATCATATATCCGGGCCAGCTCCTGACGATGGAGAGTGAAGGACACAAGGGAGGGAGGGGAGAAATATGCTGCATTTTAAAGTGCCTTCCCTTTGGCGCTCAAGGGGTCATTGTATATCTGGGAAAGCTCCTAACGAGGAGGGTGAGATGGGGAGAGGATGAAAAGGGGAGAGGGTGAGAAGGGGAGAGGGTAAGAGGGGGAGAGGGGGAGAGGGTGAGAGCGGGAGAGGGTGAGAGGGGGATAGGGTGAGAGGGGGAGAGGGTGAGAGGGGGGAGGGGGGAGAGGCGATGAGAATCAGGGAAGGGAGGAAAGGAAGGAATATGTTGCATTTCCAGACGCTGCCTTCTCTTGAACTATCTCACATCAGTAAACCACCATAAAAAACCACCATAAGAAACTCACACAGACTGAGGCGGATGAGGCAAATCTCTGTGAAGCATTTTTCCACCTCCATGAACGCACAACTCTATGAAACACTCTCTAAACACCTGTGAACCACTCTGCACACGGGTGGACCCACTCTACACACCTCTGTAAACCACTGGTACACGATCCCACCGCACTGCTGGATGATGAAGTTGACGAGCGTGGGAGGGAATTTGAGGTCCAGCGTGAATATACACCTGCGGGATGGCATACACAGGGGTGATAAGTGGTACAGAGGGGTGATAAAGAAACAGGGGTGATACCAGGCATAGGGTTGAGAGCATACGGCGTAGCATGAAGATACAGCTCAGCTGTACAAGGGTTGATTTAGAACACATGGATGACGGTGATGAAGCCGATGCAGGTGCTAAAAAAACTCGCCCACAATCCTCACCTGATTGCATTGCATGCTCTCCCCCTCCCTTGCGTCCTCACGCCACAGATTACCACTTACCACCCACTCCTCCTTTTCCCCCACCATACGCACCTCATGTGCGCCCTGCCCTAGCCCACGTCCTTCACAGCGTTAACCCCCCTCCCATGCCCATCCGCATGTGCCCAGACGGGAAGGTCAGGTCTTCACGCCACACCTTGTCCTTCACAGGTCTTCGCACCTCATGTGCGCTCGATCCTCACCCATGTCCTTCACACCATTCCCCCCCGCTGATGCCCATGCGTATGTGCCCAGGCAGAGGCGCCTTCACGCCACACCTCATCCCCCTTGTTCACTCCCTCTCAACCCCCCTTGTCCCCGCCCTTCCTTCCAACGCACCTCATGTGCGCCCGGCCCTCGCCCATGTCTTTCACAGTGTACCCCCCGTTGATGCGCATGCGCATGTGCCCCGGCGGCAGGGCCGTCTTCACGCCACACCTTACCCCTCTACCACCCACTCCCCCTTGTCCCCCACCCAGCGCACCTCATATGCGCCCTGCCCTCGCCCATGTCTTTCACAGCATAGCCCCCGCTGATGCCCATCCGCATGTGCCCCGGCAGGGGCGGGGGGGCGTCCTCCTGACTGTACCCGTGGTTGGTGAAGTCAGCAGTCGCGGGGTTCTCAGGCAGCTGTAGGGAGGGTAGGGAGGGTAATGTTTGGGGGAAACTTTAAAGAGTTTCCGCGCTGAACAAAGCCCATTCGCCTGAAGGGTCCTCGGGCAGCTCAAGGGAGGGCAAGAGGCAAGAGGCGTCCTCCCGGCTGTACCTATGGTTGGTGAAGTCAGCAGTCGCGGGGTTCTCAGGCAGCTGTAGGGAGGGCGAGAGGAGTGGACATTTTTTGAAAGTTTGCAAGACAAGAGACTGCTTAGCACGCCATGTGACGGGTCCTCCCGGCTATACCTGTGGTTGGTGAAGTCAGCAGCCGCGGAGTTCTCAGGCAGCTGAAGGGAGGGCGGTGGCGCACATTTGAAAGATTGCAGGGTACGGTAAGGAATTGTTGCATCAGACATGACAAGGCCCCCCCCGGCTGTGTCCGCGATTGGTGAAGTCGGCAGTCGCGGGGCGCTCGGGCAGCTGCAGAGAGGGTTGGCAGTCGTTACGTAAAATGACTGCCTTACGAAGAGCCTGAAGGGTCCTCAGGCAACAGAAGGGAGGGCAAGGGGCGTGTGAGTGTGGGTGTGGGTGACTCACCGTTTGCAGCACAGTGACAGTCATGCCAGAGACGGCATCGTAGACTGTCACAAAGATGAGCGCAAACCCTGGAGGCGCCCCCAACAAGAGACCACTTCTGAAGCACTTCAAAACAACAGACGCCTTCTGAGGCGCCTCAAGTCACGACTCACCGTTCGCAGCACAGTGACAGTCATGCCAGAGGCGGCATCGTAGACTGTCACAAAGATGAGCGCAAACTCCTGAGGGGGTAGCGGCCATGGCACCTTGAACCTGTGGAGGTGTGAAGGGGTGGAGGTGGAAACGCAAGGAGTAAGAGGGGGTGGATGGGGGTTGGAAGGGGACGGGATAGGGTGGAAAGAGAAAGAAACCAAGGAGGGAGTCTAGCGATAGACGAGGGTCGAACTTTAAGGAGAGAGATTGGAAGGGCGCCTTGGAGGGAGAAAGCGGGAAGAAAAGACGAGAGGAGGAGGAGGAGAAGGAGGAGGGTGGTGCAGAAGGGGAGGAGGTTTGGGGGAGCACAACGGCAGGATGTGTTATTGATAAATGCAGTCATGACTTGAAGTGCAAAAATTGCGGGTAATGAGACGACTTTTGAGGCGCCTCAAAAGGAGCACAATGGCAGGATGCATTATTGATAGATGCAATCATGACTTGAAGCGGCACGGCACAGCATAAGGGGTGTGGATACGATATGGTACAGCATGACACAACATTGCATGATATGGTGTAGCACGGCATGACATGACATGACTAGCACGGCACAACATGGCGCGGCATGGCAGGGCAGGGCAGGGAAGGACAGGGTAGGGCACGCATTGCATGAAGGAGGTGCAAGTTCTCCCCCACGCGCTTGCCACAGCACAGTGCCGCATGGTACAGCAGGGTACAGCACGGTACAGCATGGTACAGCACGGTACAGCACGGTACAGCATGGTACAGCACGGTGTAGCATGGCAACGCACGCACCGCATGAAGGAAAGGTGGAAGTTCTCCCCCACGCGCTTGATGTACCTCGACTCCTCACAGCGGTACGTCGGCATGGTCATGTTGGGCCACCTGCGGGAAGGACGTCAGGGGGGAAGCGACACTCAGTCTTTGTTGTGAGGTACGAGCGACACTCAGTCTTTGTTGTGAGGTACGAGCGACACTCAGTCTTTGTTGTGAGGTACGAGCGACCTCAGTTGGCTTACTAAGATCGAACCCGCTGCTAGCAACATCCCTGAGGGAAGAGAGTCAGGTTGGGAGGGACACTCAGTTGTTGTCGCTCCAATAAGTCGACTCAAACGTCAGCTCGTTCCACTCACCATTCCTTGAAGAAGGGAGCGTCTCAGGACATGGCGAGGGCAGCATCAGCAGGGGCGTGCACGACGCCCTCGATGCACGTCGTGTGGATCGCCGTGCCGTTGGGCCCCGGGCGGTGCAACGTGCGGTACTCAGTTGCTTGCTCGCACGGCTGAAGGGTGGTGGGTGGTGGGTGGTGGGGAGAGAATATTAACAGGGATCGGAAGCAGGGGTGGAACTGTGGATGGCCGTGTTGCTGGGCCCTGGGCGGTGCAGCGTGCGATACTCTGCTGCTTGCTCGCACGGCTGGGGCGAGCGGGTGGGGGATGCGGGGTTTTCCAGGCGGCCTGAGACCACCGCAGCAGCTTTCCCAGCAGCAGCAGCAGCCGTTTCAGCAGCAGCAGTTTGGTCATTTTCAGGGTGGTGTGGGGTTGGGTCCGATGGGGCAGCAGCAGCAGCAGCAGCAGCAATGGGTGAATGGTGTTCCTTCTTCTGCTGTGAATGGGGCGGTGCAGCAGCTGAATGGCATGGCCCTATCCAATGTTCGTCCCCAGCAACCATACACATTGCAGCATGGACCTCTGCCACCGTATCAACCGCAGCAGCCGCCACAGCAAATTCAGCAGTTTCAGCAGCAGAATCAGCAGCAGCAGCTTCAGCTGCAGCAGTACCAGCATCAGCAGCAGGGGCAGCAGATTCAGTCACAGTATCAGCCGCAGCCTACGATAATCCAGGTCTCTACTTCCCTCGCAGGCGGATCTGGTGTGGGTTTAGCCAAGGGGGGTGAACCTGGTCAGGTGTATGCAGGTGGGGGTTACTACCAGCACCCTCAGTTTATGCCTGTCAGACCGTGGCTTGGAGTCGGTATGAGAGACGGTGAGTAAGAAAGAAGAAAGGAGGATGGCTACAAAATACACGGAAAGGAAAGAGAAGGCTGCCATCCCCCTCATTCCGTCTCTTCATTTCCCATATCCTCCTAACATCGCCCCCTGTCAGCAGCCAATCACCTTCCATCGCATGTCCTTGGCCCCATGGCCCGCAGCTTTGTCTTTAGCGCCGCCCGTTTTCTCCGCAGCACCGCCAATCCGCACGGAGCGCAGGTCCTCCAGCAACCCCGCCATCTGCGCGCTCCAATACTCCACCACCGCTTCATTATCCCCCGCTATACCACTATTTTTTCCGATTTCGACTTTCCCGATGCCGTCCTTGACTTTTACTCCGTTCATATCTTTCGGGCTGTCAATAATACTGCCGTTGTTTTTGTCGCATTGACTTCCGCTACGCTCGAGGCTTTTTGTCATCTCGGTTGCGCCGGACGATACGACGCCATCCGCGGGTTGTCCGCTCAGCTGCGCCTCCGCGGATGGCCCATTCAGCTGCGCGCGGAAAATATCGGTGACGGCTTCGCGGCTGGTCCATGGGAGCGACGCGACTGACCTGTCGAATGCGATCACGCCCTCTAGCAGTGCCATTCGCGGAGGATGCTACGCGGATGAGCCTCCGCGGGCGAGGCTGTGTGAATGATACGAAGGGGACGACTACGCCGGCAATACTATGCGGATGGTTTTACCGAGGTAGCAAAGCGGCCTGAAGATCTGAGTTATGCTGGTGGTTCGATTAATTGCCAGGCGTAGTGGAGAATGCGGTACCACGGGGAACGACAGTGTACACAGCTAGAGACCTGACTTCTGCGTATAAATAGATAAGAGCTGTTTTTTTAGGGTTGTCTCAAAGCCTGGTAAAGCGACGTGCTGTTGTGAGTAAGAATCTAGGTTCGCGGGTCGTTGCTCGAGGTCCTGGTGAAGTCTACGTCACGGATTGCGCAAATAAGTTGCAGTCATATGAGACAAGTTGTAGTGAATGGCGGGGTTGTGAGCCAAGTGCGATGCCAATGAGCAAGCACGACCAATTGGCCCAGCATGAGAAAGCTCACAGCTGCCAGCGACAGCAATGGGGAAGAGAAACTGACTTCATTTCAGTGCTTCCGCAATTGCCCGGAGCACGGTACGGCGCGAAGCGAACAGCGCAAGCTCTGGCTAAGGCACGGAACCGAACCGAAGAGAACTCGGCGGTAGCGCCTAGGCGTGAGGTATGGTGAGCGTGTGAGCCCGACCGACCTGGAAGGGATCTCCAAGAAATTCGGTTTGGTTGGTCGGTGGTGATGTGATGGCACAAGCAGGTCTGCTCTGGAGTCTGGACTTCCGAGCCTAGACGCAAAGGAGGCACCACAGACCAAGCAAACGAGAGGTTGAAGTTGACGTACTGTTTGTAATGCAAGTGCAGTGTATTGCGAAAAAAAAATAGCATTCTCACAGTGCACATAA